GATGAACAAAAATATTGAATCGTTACGGTACTTTTAATTTCCCGCGCAATAATTCGCAAAAGCATTCCTCAAACAGAATTGAAAGCCGAATTAGTTAGGGCGCGAACGTGACATTTTCACTTCGAATATGGCACTGATTTATGCATCTTTTGTTTCCATGTTAGTGCAGTATCTAAAAAGCTTAACATAACACATAATAAGTATCACTGAAAGCATTTTTCCCATCACGCCTAGGTATGTATTCACCGTAAGGTTTGCATTCTAATATAAAGTTTAACTTTTCCGCGTGCAACTGCTAGCTTAATCACCCCATTACCATATATAACACCTCCAGTCACGCTAGCAGGAATCTCAGACAATCTTGGACAGTATAAAATGGAACAATTAACCCCCATCCCCCCCTAGGCAATGATGAAGACGCGCGAAGAGCGAAGCGCGCCATTTTGGCATCATTGAAATGGGGGGGGAGGGGTGGTCCAGATGTTCCATTTAATTTGTCCAAGATTGTATCCAGAGTCTGAATGTCACGGAACAATGGGAGTGGGTAATTAGACAACCATCTGTCAACTTGTTTAACGCGATTAAACACAGGTCTCTGACGCAGTCACACGCGTCATCTGTTTACGGTGTGCACTCTAAGTTAAGGTATTACCCAAGGGATATTTTCGGCAACAGGTAGAATATATAAGGATGAATTGTTAGGGTACTTTCGGAAAGAGCAGGGCACATGCTAAAGAACATTGTTTTTGCCAAAGAATATTTTACAACATGCCAGGGAGAAAAAGAATACCCGAGAAAGCCAAGGCTACAATAAGAGCGCTAAAAAGCACAACACCTCTCACGCTAGGTGAAATTGCTCTACGATGCAGAATTTCCAAAACAAGTGTGCAACGCATAGCAAACACAGAGGACAAAGTGCCAGTGAACCGTAGAAAGTTTTGTGCAAGGAAGAAAAAACTCACTCCAGAACAAGAGGCATTAATTCTTAGAAGTATAGTAGAATTGAGAGACCAAGAGGGCTCATTTTCCTCACGGCGTCTGATGGAGCGGACAAGAATTCATCATGTCACCGACCGAACCGTTAGGCGTTTACTAAATAGAAATGGTTACTTCTTCCTTCAGGCACGCAAAAAGGGACTAATGAGTCAGACAGACAAAGACCAGAGAGTGGCGTTTGCCCGAAAAATGCAAGTAGAATACTCCCCGAGTGTTTGGACAGACTCCGTTGCTTTCTACTTGGATGGTGTCTCATTCGTGCACAAGACTAATCCACTGGACCAAGCACGCGCCCCGAAAGGGAGAGTATGGAGAAAAAGATCTGAAGGCCTCACACAGGGGTGCTTGGCAAAAGGCAGTAAATCTGGAACGGGAGGAAAAGTGGGCAAGTTCATTGTAGCAATAAGTCATGGCAAAGGAGTGCTTGTTTGTGAAAGATACGAAAAACTGGATGGAAACTATTTCGCATCTTTTATTGACCAGCATTTCAACGCAATGTTTGAACGATCATGCAAAGGATTGAGTCGACTGTGGCTACAAGACGGTGATCCTTCACAAAACAGCAAAGCAGCCCGTGAGGCTATGGCCCGTTGCCATTGTGAACTTTTAAAAATCCCACCGCGAAGTCCAGACTTGAATCCGATAGAGAACATATTCCACATTGCCTCTAAGAAGTTGGCGAAAGATGCGTTTGAAAAAGGCATAACGCGTGAATCATATGAACAGTTTTGTGAAAGGGTAAAAAGAACGATTTGTGGTATTTCACAACAACTGATAGATAGAACTATACAGTCAATGAGTTCGCGCGTGGCCGACATAATACGGAATAGTGGCGAAAGACTGAAATATTGAATCTTGAGATGTGTAGGGCACTTGAATTACGTTTAAATGATATTTTGACGTTTTTTCCACGGTTTACGATATATTTCATTCGATTTAAAGCGCATTTATGACGGTTTTTAACGATTTATTACGATTTTTGGCTAATTTAAATAAAATATGAGTTAATGTTTGTTATTTATTTTCAAAGGTCGAAAAATATCACTAATTCTTGGCAGAGGTACTGTTGTCCTTGAAGTCTTAAATACCGTTGTATTAAAATACTGAACAGTTGACCGTTTTATCCTCTGATCAATAAAAAATCTGCAGAAATGTTGGAAGGTGACACCAGGGGTGGGGCATTTGCTCTCTTTCTTTGTCCCCACCCCGTGGCATTTAGACAGCTTATGTGTCTCCACCCCGGGGTATTTGACCATTTTTTTTTAAAAATGCTAATGACCGGGGGTTAGCCGGGGGAGGGGGGGGGATGGGCACTGCTGGAATTGACTGATGCATAATGCGTGAAAGTTAGCTGGTATACTATAACCATTCTTAAATCTCGTCAATGGTGAGGGTGGAGGATATGAGATGAAAACGCCCTAAAGTTTATTGTTCATTTTACCTGGCAACCTTACTGACTGCCATCAAGGAAATTGTTCAGTCTTCATTGGTTTATGTAGCCCTTCCGTGGACACACATAAGCTTAAGGTGATTCCCTAGTTTTGCATTGCGCATTCCTACTGCGCACCATTTTTGAGTCATCAGCGCGCGCACATGAGTGCGCGCGCGTGCAAAATGTAACAGATTTCCCTCAAACTAAGCTCAATAGCGAGATAAATGCTCGTTTTCTCTTAAACGAGTACGGTGACCCCCACTTTTTATTTTATAAATTCAATGAGAACAATATCCTAATTAACTGAGAAAAAAATTGGCAGAAATCTATGACTACTTTTTTGGCAAATGAAATAAATGCTACAGATAGAGACGTACCGGTCCCAACAGAGGAAGTCCAAATTATGTTTCCTTTGAAGGATAAAAATATTAATTAATACTGCAGGGTATTTGAAGCCATTTTTTCTGGGACGTAGATGAATAAACAATCAATGAAAGTCGAACTCTGTGTGATATAACACGCCGCAGGCGGCATTGGAAAATAGTCGCGCTTATTTGTTGCGCGCGGAGATCACCAAAAGTCACCTTAATAACCGTATTTGTCAGCATTGTGGCGTGAAAACAAGCACGGTGACCCCCCCTTTTTATTACGTTTTTAATATCTCCTTGTCGTGTAACATCAACATACCAAGTTTCATCGGAAATCTATCGTGGGTTCTTTTACCAGGGAATCACCTTAAAACTAGGACATGGAATGATAAACGTCACGGACACCCATATCACTGTGACGCCTAAGGCTAACCATCAACGAAAAAGGAATCACTGTTTTACCTCAACTGATTCAGCCGGTGGGGGACGTTCAATATTCACTCCACGAGGCATTTCTGTTCTATGGTCGTCGTCTACCTTACCTAGTGTTGTAAGGTTTGCAGGCTTCCGAACGCCATTTTGGTTTTTATGTCAGAGCCTGCGATATTTTTGGTAGATACGTGGTGTAGAAACAGTAGTTCGCGGAAAGCTCGATCTACATGTAACATGGCGGATGGTGGAGGAGGAGCCGTGCAAGAAGAGATTGGCAGAGATATGGTCGAAGGGCAACGAAAAATGTCTGAACCAGCACAACCTGCAAACAATCATCAAGCACAGAAAAGCGAAGCGTCAAAGAAATCATTGAAAAAGAAAGGTGGGTAGCTGAAATCAGCCCAAGTGTTTTCTATGATATTTTTGTGTGTTAATGTATAATATAAAAGAAACCTGTGGTGAGTGTTTCGGGTTCTTACACTGAGTATGAGCCTTTTAGATATGCAATCTTAAATGTCTCCAATTTAAAAGACTACGCGGACGCGTTTTCTTTCGATGAAATTCACCGACCTGTTAGTGTAATTCAAGTATTAATATGTCCACAATATAACACGCCTTTTCTATGTTTTATACTCTGATAAAACATGGGTTTTTGACCAATCAGAGCGCGTGCAGGGTCCTATCTATATTTTAAAGCTTAATCATACATGTAAATACAATTCTCTCAAATGTGATTGGTGCATAAACTGCTGCATTGCAAAATGCGGAGAGTCAAAGAAGTCATTGCAAAAGAAAGGTGGGCAGCTGAAATCAGCCAAGGTGTTTTTGCTATGTGTGTATAAAGTAATCTTAAAAGTGTTTAATTTCAAAGGTTTTGTCTGATTTGTCCTGAAATTGCACTGATGTTTAAGTGCAATTCAAGAATTTTTATGTTCACAAGTGTCCCTGTTGATAAGTTAATTTAAAGACATTTGTGCCAAAATTCCAAAATTCATGGCTACAAAATGAAAAAAAAGCAATGAAGATTTCCAGTCATGCAACTATTAAGCTTGCTGGATTATAGGGACAATGTGTACTAAAAGCATCTGCGGTTAAGTGTTGATTGATACCCTTTATCAACTGTCAATCAACACTCATTGGACATCTTGATCAACACTCAATGGACATCTTAATAAACACTCAATCAACAAACTTCTTGATCGACACCTGATAAGCACCCTGGTGGGGGTACCCCCTATAATGGCCTATATGGGAAGGCTCTGCCCGAAAGGGTACCTTTCTCAGGCCTCAGGTACAGTATGTAAAAGGGTAGGGATTTCACAAGTTGTGGTTTATGAAAGGGTAGGGAAATTGGTCATTTACATGTAGGTATTTAAAAGGGCCTTCAATTATAATATTTCGAATAGACTCCCCTTATGGCTGTATCAGTTTAATTATTAAGCACCACATGAAAATGAGAACAAGACTTCCTAAAAAAGGTACCATAGAGTTCCGATAGTAACGACCCCCCGAAAGTAGCAACCCCCCGAAATTAACGTCAATTTTTTGTGGCTACTAGTAAATCCCGAAAGTAGCGATCCCCCGAAAGTAGCGATCCCCCGAAAGTAGCGACCCCCCCGAAAGTAGCGACCCCTCCCGAAAGTAGTGATCACCGCCAATAGTAAACAATGAGTTGACAGGCTTAACACGACTCCCGCTGTTTCGTGAGGTGACAAGTCTGTGACCTTTAGAGTTAAGCTCTAGCAAGGATATCTTTGAGAGATTTACCTTTCCTGTAGGAGATGAAAGGTGGTTCTCTGTATATTTCTCTCAGCAAATTGATTGATTCTCTGTTGTCACATTTGTATAAAGTAACAGGCCAAACGTTGGCCTCTTAGTAAATTGTGGCCTTCGATCTGCTCAAAGGAGGATTTTATTTTCTCAGTGGAGCCTATAGGTAGAATCTTTATGCCGTTGTGTTTGCTGGCTCTGTGGCAATTTAAGTTAAGTTAAGTTAACTGGCTCATTTATGTTGCAGCTATTAAATCGCTCGGATCAGTAGCCTTCTCTATTGTCGTGATCTTTTGTTTATTAGCCTGTGGTGACCTTATGGCTAATCTTTCATGATGTATATCACGAGCGTTTATCACGGGCGGTTATGCAAGTCTCAAATCCGAATTCTTTCAAGGCTATTATTGTAGTTTCTAAGAAGAGTGCACCTCCATTATTTTGTTGCATTGCTCGCATCCAACAGACGTTAGTTTTTTGTAACCGTCAGGTTACCGTGTTGGGATTCAACTCAAGGATGCTGTAATGATCTTGTTAGGCAAATGAATCAGGTTGTATTCTCAAACAAGACTCGAGTTTCGGTTCTTCAGCGAACCTCATCAGTTGTTTCTATGTTATGGGTCTCAGGAACGTTAGTCAGTGAAGACCGTTGACATTCCGTGAATAGTGAGCGTTTTGCTGTATTTATACCGGCGACATGTAAGGATCGAAAGTTCTGGTCTGTTATTGGTTGTTTATATTAACCAATAGGAATGTAGGGATTTTGATCCTAAAGCAGTTGTGTTTCTTATGAAGGTCGTTTATCTGCCTTAAGGATGTAAAAATCCATTTTCTCGTGTCGAGAAAAGGTAACGGAATAGTGTTAATGTATCTGGAACTCTACGGTAGCGCTATTTGTAAACGATTTCTGTTCCCCGAAAGTAACGACCCCCCGAAAATAACGACCCCCCTAAAGTTACGACCCCCAAAGGCTGCTAATTCCGAAAGTAACGAGGGTCGCTACTATCGGAACTCTACGGTATGTGAAGGGGGTACCTTTTTTCAATAAAAGGTACATAAAAGGGGTACATTTTCTGCCAAAATGATTTACAAAAGGGTAAGGGGTTGGACCTCGGGGCGGAGCCTCCCCCGTATCAAACTTTGTTAAGCATTCCCCTCCCCGGGATTGGCACTGCACAGACATTCACTCTATAGTTGGCACAGTACTGACTGACTTATATGTATCGACTGGTAATCAATGGTGTGTCTGAAAATTAGTTGACTCTTGAATGATTGTCGACCAACATGGCAAGCAAGTATCGATCAAGTGTCAACGGAGATGCCAATCAAGTGTCAACTGAGATGCCAATCAAGTGTCAATTGAGTGTTGATTGAGGATATCAATCGATACTCAACTGCAGATGCCATAATATGGTTACAACTTAAAGTGCACCTAACCCCAAAATATTTTTTTCGCTCAAATAAATCAATAATTGCAAATTAGTCTGTGACATAAAACCAGGAATAGACCCATGCCCCTTACTAGACCTAGTTTAAAAAGGCGGAGTGCGTTTCAAACAGTTGCAAAGATTTATTTAAGCGAAAAAAAATATTTTGGGGTTCGGTGCACTTTAAATCATGTGGTTATTCATGTTGTTTTTATTGTAGTGGAAGTGTTGCTTAAAGCCGCTGGAGATGCCTCTATTATGGTGAAAAAGAAATGGGTAGTGGATGGATCAAAACAAGTGTCATATATTATAGAATTTATTAGGAAGTACATCAAATGCGAGCAACAAGACTCATTGGTGAGTTGACGAAGGATGGTCTTCTCATCATGTTCAAACCCGGGACCTTACAAATTGATCAAAATCAAATATCGAAAACCTAAGTGATCAATCAATATTACTTACAGTAGCCCTTATCAACTAAGTGAGAGATCTGTATGGGAGAATTTTAATTGAGGTCATGAGTATAGACTGAATGCAGTGAGGTCTGTACTCAAAACTGAGGTCAAAATCTCCCATACAGACCGACTGAGCTCAGTTAATAAGATGTTTATTGTTTGGCACAAACAAGAGCAATAATTATTTGTTTAATGTAACTGGTTTGTAGTAACTGACATTTTGTTTGCAAATGGCTATGAGCCAAATGTAATTTTGCCAAAGTTTGTTCCTCTTCTTCACTTTTTTATCACCATTGTTAGATTAAAATAGCCATATGATTTTGGATTTTAGTTTGCAACTTATTTCACTGCAAAGCATTACCGGTCTGAATGCCGGTCTAGATGGGAAAATCTAAACCACTTTCAATATCAATTTCAGCCAATCAAATTCATGAATTTGGTAGTTACCAGTCCTTTTGATACAAAGCCATGTAAATGGAGGATATTTCATCCCCGTGCATGGATATGGATTTTATCTTCGAGTGTTCAACTTGATATCTCACGAGTGAGCACAGGAAACGAGTGAGATATCGAGTTGAACACTGTCTAGAAGATACAATTCATACATGTATCCCCAAGTGGGCATGTAATATTTTGTTTATTATATAAACACCAGTGAAAAAGGCACGATTTATTATGTAACCATAGTGACTGTGATCTCTTCACATGTGAAGATATAAAGTTTTTGTACGAAGCTCACTTGGTATTTCACTGGTGTTAATATAATGATATACACTTACGTAATGTATGGTCCCGAGGGAAACAGTTAGTTTTGTTGTCCCGAGAGTCCTGATGTTTCCCGAGACGAAGTCGAGGGAAAACAAAACTAACTAGTTTCCTGAGGGACCATACATTAAGTGTTTTGTTTTATATTTA